TATTGCCGAGCAGGCATACACATTTGGCGCAGTGTAGGCGGCCGTAATGAATTTCGACATCAATGAAAACACAATCAACCAAAGTGGTTACTTACGACCGTAGTAAAATGCCGCGGTTTTGGGGCTGAAAATGAGAACGCCGGCGCGCGGCCAACTTGAAGCCGGAACCGAGCCAAACCAAAAACCGAACCAAGCCTTGGGGGCGGCATATTCATTTAAAATCTGTCTGGGATCCGACGCTGGGCTTGTCTCCTCTGAGGTTTTTGTACGCCAGCTGAATAATTAACGTGGGCGCACGGACACGGACACGGACACGGACACGGACATGGAAATGAACACACATTGCGGCAGCTGCGGGGCGCGCGGGGCGTATGCAGCGAGGCGCACGTAGCATGTAAATTGTTTCATTACCTTACACTTTGGCTGACCAGGTGCTTTCTAGCTGTTCATTGTCTCAATCCAGCTAAAAAAAAAATAGATGGAGAGAGGGAAACTAATGTGCTGGCTAAGTGAAAAGTAAGCCAGCTTTAAAAACGCCCCCATGCTCAGCTTAAAGAGCTGCCTAACTCAATTAGCCAATAGTTTTCAGCAATAGAGAGAGAGTGGGAGGGAGAGAGGGAGAGTGAGAGGGGAAGCTCGCAAACAAACGCCCCTCGAAACACAGTTGCCAGCCGCAGCAATTAGACTCAATCGCCAGTTGTTAGAGAACTTGTGCACAACTTTTCCGGCCCGATTGAAACACCTAAATAGACCGTTTGCCACTTGCCACTTGCCACATACCACTCGCCACTTGGCTGAGCAATTTGAAAAAAAAAAATGAAAAACTATCAGCTGCAAAATGCAGCACAAGTCGTGGGCGTCAATTGATCGACTCGCTGACCGCCCAGCCGCAGCCAAGACAAATTACAATTCATTTCAGACTCACACTCGCTTATAAAAGTTAATTTACGCGTAATTGCGCTGCAATTGCAAAAGCTATATGGGTTTTTGAAAAAACAGAGTTCAATAAACAAACATACACAAAACAAGAACGAAGGGCTTTTGCAGACAAGTAAATACCCTTGCAGACATGTGGCTAGGATTTTTGGACATGTGGCTAGGGTTTTCCTGGAAAAAGATTCGCGAGTCAAAAGCCCTTCAAGTTCCCCTCTGCCATTTATACATATTATCTTGGCTTCTATCCGCACGCATATTTAAAAATATATATTTTGACTTCTGTCTTCACGACAACTCGATCCCTAAATATTATTGTGAATAAGCATTCATATTAATTATTTTATGTATTTTATAAATATATTATTATTGTTTTTTTCTTTGAACATAATCGCTTATGAAATAAACAAATACAACAAATTTTAAAATGCTGGATTTGAACCAGCCATTTGATGGTTTTTATACAAATTTCGACTCCTTTTCCTCTACTCGGAGGTTGAACTCTCCAAACCCCTTCTAAATTTCACCAATATTTAATAGATATATATAGATAATATATAAGGCTCTAAAACGACGGCTGTGAGTACTTTTCAAGAATATACTTGATCGAGCTGCTTCTATGCGTTACACATTTCGTACAAAACTGTAATACTCTCCGCAAAGGGTATACAAACAACTTAACTAGCTGCTTTGGGCGGGAGTTGAAAAAACGTAAATTACACACAGAAATTTATTTTATTTTGTTTACCCACCGACAACATCCAAATAGCCGACTTGACTTTTCATCGGATCCGTGTTTATTTGGCACATGTACCTGCGGGTTGTAAATATTTTCATGTGAGACGATTTTCCTTATCTAGGGCTTATGTTGTAAAATGAAACAAGAACTAAAACTCAGCAGCGCAATAAGAAAGCATGCGTGAGAGCGTTTTATGGCAAAGGGCCAGCATAAATATGAAATAAACATAATCGTAAAATGCCTTCTGTTGTGAAAGTAAAAACTAGGAATTTCCAAGCAGTGAACAGGGAACGTTAAATAAAAAAGCTTTTAAGTTTCAAAAGAAATGCCAATAAAATTAAAAAAGCGAAATTAAATATGGCATATGAAATAGCAATTATTTATTAAAGGCAATGGACTAAATAAAATTGAAATAAAATAAAAAATACCAAATTGAAAATATTAAAATTGAAAATACATAAAATACAAAATATAAAAATTAAATAAATAAAATTACAAATACAAAAATTAGAAATATTAAATCGAAATAGATAAAAATTTAAATGCAAATTATAAATGTAATAATTAAAAATATAAAATAAATGCGCAAAAAAATTAAAAATATGAAAACTAGAAATATTAAAAAAAATACATAAAATATAAATATATAAAATTAATAAATATAAATATTAAAAATGAAACATGAAATAAAAACTATTTATTTTTCGAATTAAAGCTTAAATAAAATTAAAATACCAAATAAATATATAAATATTCGGTATTTATAATAAAATATTTGGCTAATTGCATAGGCAGTTTATGTATAAATGTTAAAGTAAAGTAAACATAAAAAAATTAGGTTTTTTTCGCTAGTAACAGATAAAACTTCTATCAAATAGTTTGGATTATCAATATTAAAGCAACGTTACATAATTTGATGGGTTTTTATACAGTACCATCCTTTGTCGGACTCCTTAACATCACGTATACGCAATATCCAAGCACGTTTCTCGGCATGAGTAATGCTCATGCGATGATTTTTGGTTATGACGTGATTTTGTATCGTTAAAATCGTTTGTGTATCGACACGTAGCCACGCAATCTGCACAAAGGAAATATTGTTAAAAAAAAAAATAGAAGGAAAATACATTTAGTTTACTTTCGGCTTACTTATGTGTGTACAAATTATAAAACTGAAGCGCTCGACAATTTGGGCACAATGTTAATGTTGAGCTAGCGTGGCCCGAGCTCATTTATTAGCCCAAAGACACAAAATGTCGCCAAAAGGCGGCCAACGTTTTGGCTAATGTGTAAAAGTTTAGGAGCTGATGTAAGAACTGCATACAGCCCTTAAAGTGTGCCAGGCTGAAGGGGGGGTTAAAGCTTTCAGTTATGCTTTACGCTGCATTAAGTATTTTTAAGTCTGAGTATTCCTTATTGCAAAGCTTGCTTTTCAGTGACATATAGTCTGGAGTACTTAAAACTTGGCATTAAAAAACTAAATTAAATCAATTGATTGTTTCATTTTCCAGTGAATTAACCAATTTAAGTTACACACACACACACACAAATATATATAACAAGGGGCGCCTCAAGTTATAAGGTAGAGAAATTGTTGTCTACTTTTCATATGGTCAGACATCAATTCACTAGCTTTCAATTTGTACGCTCAAATGCAACGGACCATTGTGGAGGAACATCATATTTAGAATTAGCAACATGATAGGCAGCACATTTACCATTTGTATGATGGGCTGCCCAACGATATCATCAAGGAGCCGAAGGAAGATTATCAATTTGTTGCGTGCGCTTTCACCAGGTCCATTTACCTTGCCATTTACCGAAACTGGGTCTAAAAGCTGACTAACACAAATTTGTGGCCGACCGTTTGCCATTTTCATTTCGGCAATTCATTGGGCAGCTTTTTTTTTGTGGCCCTCACCCAGCCGGTCACAAAATCAAAGTGGCGCCCAAGGGGCTTGAAACGTGCCCAGTTGCCGGCGAGGGAGCGTAACTGGAACCGAAAGCAAAGAAAAAAAATCCCTTACAAAAAGGGTCAACACAAATGGCGCACGCATTATGCGTTTAACGAGAGGACACGCACACGCACGCAGACACGCACAGGCACAAAGAGTTTTTGAGGCGTGGCACCTGAAACTATGCCACGTTTTATTTGATGAAGTGTAAACTGTTTGAAATGACAGCGCCGCCAGCAATTTCCATTAGGCGCAACACCTGGCGCTGGGTGCTGCTCTTCTAAGTGTGCCCGCTTTGCCAAACTAACAACAGACACGCCCACTGCCATAGACACACATATTGAAAGATATTCGAGTGGGGCCTGGAATTACCTTATACGTTTGCAGATTGTCGACGACACATTGGAGCACAGCCTCTCGGCCGACCGGCACGGTGACATTCTGCAGGAGCTCTCCAAACTTGGGCAGATCTGTAATGTGAATAAAGAAATTGGAGTATAATGTATGGATTGGCATAACAACAATCTAATCTGAAACAAGGTACATATCAGAGTGTTTCTTAAATTTGATTATTGAAACCTCTGTATATACCTTTCATTGGATTAAACTGATAAGCACACGTTTCATAAGTTTTCATATTGAAAATACATTAAGTTTAACTTATCTTAGAATAGGGGAGCTTAACTTTGTATTAACATTTAAGCTAAGAGCCTCAATTCTTAGATAATGCGACTAACAACTGCATTAAAACAAACAAAAAATAGTGACAGCTGCATACACACATGCACCCCGCTGCAGATGCCGCCTTCCCCACAGGTAAGATCAAACTAAGCCACAGCCGCTTTAACCTGCTATTATACGAAAATATCAAAGAGAGCGCCACGCCTGCGCTCTTTACAGCTGCCTAACAGCAAGAGTGCTGATCTTAACATAACATTTCCAGTGTTAACGCTCCTTACAGCTGCTCATTGAGTAATAAAGAAATGACTTACTGTATGACGCGCTCTTATTACTCACTGTTAAGCAGTTGTAAGAAATACTAACAGTGGAGTTGTTAAGAGCAGCAGTCTTGCTGTTAAGCAGCTGTCATTGAGTAATATTTTATTTCTTTATTACTCAATGACCTATGAGCAAGCACACGCGAGTATAAGCAGATAACGCACAAGTAAACACACACACAAACGAGTGTATGCAGAGGGTAATGCAAGATATGTGCATACATTTGTATATTTGGTATTCTGCCTATGCGTCGCACTCACACGAATGTTTCGCGTTGCTTGTGTAGGAATTCATCTTGTGAGCATTTGCTGCTTTTTTTCTGTGTGCTGTTTGTGCCGTCCGCTATGCGAGTTAGTTTAACTCTAGTAGTCATCGAGACAAGTTGTTAACCGGCCAATTGTAGTCTCAAAACTATACAATCAGAATTTCTCGACATAATAATTCATATTGATTATGTTGCCATTAAAAATTTCGCGTTGTAAAATTTGTACAAATTTAATAACATTTGCTTTCCGTTAAACAATTAATGCGTTCTAGAATTCCGTCATCCATCACAATTACCCAAATTGTAGTTTTTTATTAAAAATAACGAATGATTATTGACGGATTTTCTATTATGCAGCCAAATCTATCACGTAAATTTGCGCTAACCAGGCATCACTATTCGGCAGCTCATCTCGCTCAATTTATTGCAGCAACAACAAAGTAAACCGAGAGTGAGATATATATGTTTGGAGGAGTGTACATACATACAATTTCAATGCGCAGAACATATGTAGGTATGTATCAGGCAGAGCGCAAAACATACATACATACATGAGTGCGCAACTGCTTCTCTGCGCATTAGCTGTAATTTTTCGTTTGTCTTTTCACCTATGCACATTCGCGCATACATATCGACTACCTGTTTTGAGCGCCTGACAATTAGAGATGGCACTTACGTTTGCATGACTTTCGTATTGTCCGCTCTTAAGTTTGATAATTTACTAATACACTCAGTAAAATGCAACAATAAAATAAGCTCAATATAATAAAAATAAAGGCAAAGCATTTACAAATTCCTAATGCGATTCAGTAGCCGCAACTGAAAATTTATTGTTAGCATGTTAGATTAAGACTGCCATTTAAATTCACTATAAAATTTAATAACTTATATTATGCATAGTTATCTTATGACAACCTTTCGATATTTATGTTAAAGCTAACTTGGCTCCGCCTCTGCAAGTAAACGTAAAGTGCCGTCTCTAATTACCAGGCGTACATCAGCGGCAGCCGTTGATTGTTTTGATCTTCAAAACATGCTGGCGACATGCATATATAGACGGATATGCAGGGATGCCATGACAAAATAAACTTTACAGTTTTGTGTATGTATGTATTTACAAGGCAAGGCTAAGGTAAAAAAGATGTTTACATACATATATTCTCTTCATTGCAACAACAACGTAGACGCAAGCGCGAGATATATATATGCACCAATGTGCGTGGGTGCCAAAATGAGCGGAGAATTACAGTAATTGCACTTTAGGCAAGACGAACATGCGCGAGACAGAGACGTACATATACGCAAGTGACACAGGGAGATCAAAATCTAACTTTATCTCTGTGTGCATCACATTCCGCTTGTGCGCTTTTACAATTAAATTATTCATGCGCCTTTTTTTTTTGTCTACCTGCTGTTCATTGCAGTTCGCCTGGTATTTCAGCCGAATTTTTATTCCGATCTGGAGACCCAGCTGCTTGTCGGTCTCAATGAACTTTGGCGGCCGTTAAATTAAAATATTAATTGATAGCAAACGGATAAGGGCGAAGTACTCAAATTCCTTGATATCCCTGAACTCGGCCGTATCATTGAAGGTCCCATCGTGTCCTGTTTCAAACAACTTCCATAGACAAGAGGTGTAAGCTGGTTCAAGGACATTGAACTTGTCCTTATGGATTCCGAGATGTCAAGGATTTTCTGTTAAGCACGGTAACTACAATGTTACAAGTCCTGGATTCTTAGATCACCCCATAATATTTTGATGCACGCTGATATGCTTGATCCCTACGATCCTAATGCAACATTTGCCTTAAAGAATCCCCAGGAATATGGCCGAGCAATAAGCAATCCAAAATTAAAATTTTACTTGACCTGCCGAGAGTGCCCCTTTCGGGTATGCAATGTGTTTTTTCGGCAGGTCATGTGAAATTTAAATTTTTGATTGCTTATAACTCGGGCATATCCTTGCGGATTTGTAAATGAAATGTCGCGTTTGGATTGTCAGGACCAAGCGTATCGACCTGCATCGTCAATATATCCGAAACCAGAAGGACGATTTTGATGTCCTTTGGCAAGTTGGTAACCTGGTCAATGCAACTTTTCAGACACAGGATCCGTCACTCTGGCCAAGGGACTTCCAAATCGTCCTTTCTCAAAATCTGAAGAATTTTGTTTTCCGCCTATTTCCTAGCGCATCGCGACAATTTTTACAAAGTCCAAGATTCTTAGATGACCCCATAATGTTTTAATGCAGATCGATGCAGTTGGTCTGCACGATCCTAACGCACTGTGTCCTTTGAAAATCTGCAAGGATATGAGCTAGTAATTGCTATTTTTCTAGAAAGGATAATTTTACAAAACTGGCCATAGCTTGACCATTTTAAGGACTTTCGGCATGTCCTTTGGCAATCAGACTGTCCTTGTCTTGCACATTCAGAAAATATAATAAAAAGGACGAAGGTCCTTTAAATAGCCAGGGTATAAGGACATTTGTTTTGTACAATAAAATGGCTATATCTCAGCTGCATCCTTGCGGATCCTAATAAGTCCTTAGTCAAACAACGTGTATTGGCTAGGACTACAAACTTGCCAAAGGACATTAAAATCGTCCTTGTGGTTTCAGAAATATGGCTACTTTTCTAAAAAGGACATTCTTTTTTTTGCCATATTTCGGCCAAATCCTGAAGGATATCGGAAGGATATACATTTTTGAAGTCGTGGAGATCAGATCTATCGATTGGCATTCAAATATTTCCAGAATTCGACAAATTTCACCAACAATTTTCACAAGGGGTTAGTCAGAAAATTGCTATAAATCGAAAAATTCGGGACTAACTTCGCCATTTGAAGGACTATCGCGATGTCCTTTTGACAGAAGGTAGTCCTCATCCTCCCATTTATGAATATACAACCCAAAGGACGAAAGTCCTTCAGACAAAAAATTTTTAAGGGCAAATTTGTAAACCGAAAATAGCTTACAACTCGGCCATATCCTTGCGTATCCTGACGAGTCCTGTGGCAAAAAATTATATTAACCGGGTCTACCATCTGGCCAAAGGACATCAAGATCGTCCTTGTGGTTTCGGAGATATCGCAATTTTAGTGTAATTGTGTGATTTCAACCAATTTTCCTTGCGGCCCGCGACTGAAAAATTACCAAGTCCAGGATTCTTAGATGACCCCATAATATTTTAATGCAGTTCGATGCAGTTGGTCCCTACGATCCTAACGCACCATGTCCTTTGAAAATCTGCAAGGATATGACCGAGTTATGGCCATTTCTTTCCTCAAAAAACTCTTATATATCTTATTGATATTTTTATTTCAAATGTGTTTTTATCATTACAGATTGAAGGATTCAAGGACTCCAATCGATTCTAAGGACTTTTATGAATCTAACGAGGCTAATCCTTCCAGGATCGCATATATATTAATCCAAATATAGTCATTTTAAAATAAAATCGAAAAAACATGTAAAAAACAACAATTTTGTTAATTTTAACAAAAATAAATTAAATAACTTAAAATTGTTAAACAAACTCCTGTTTTTTTACTTCCAAGGGATATGGGATTACAACAAATTCAAAAATAAACGGTCGTTAAAAATCTGTCCGTTGAAGGCCGCTGGTACCGAGATTTTTCTTAAATTTTGCTAAAATACCAGGCGGACAGAAATGACCAGCAGGTTGACAAAATTTTTCAGCGTCCGAAAATTTTCTGTTGCATACCCGAAAGGGGCGCCCTCGTCGGCGGCCGGGTCCACAATTTGTACTAAAATTCCGCTGAAGCACCAGGCGAACAGAAATGCTCAGAAAGTCGACGAGTATTTTCGAATAAAAATTTTCGTTGCATACGCCTAAGGGGCAAAAATGTAACTCATTTAAAATGAGTGATGTTAAGCTACAGGTAATGTTAAATGAGTGCTGTAAAGCGGATGTTAATTAGCAACTATTTCTGCTGCTCATTTACAGGGGCTGCTGAAAGAAAAAGCATGGTTGTTTTTGGACCATTTCAGTGCAAATTTTGCAGGGATCTGATCCTTTAGGTTCTCAAGGACTATATCAATGGTATAATATAACCAAGGATATACAAGTCAACTAAGTACCATTAGGGGCGGGGAAAAAACATGCATGCCTATGGACCATTTCAATGCAAAACTTGCAGAAATTTGGTCCTTTTGGTTCGTCAGGACTATATCAATGGCAGGGAGTTACCAAGGATATGAAGGTCAACTAAAAACCATGATAGGGGCGTGGCTGAAAAATTCATACATATTTCTTAACCAAGTTCTTGCGTATTTCGCACATGTATGACCATTCAGGATCGTTAGGACTATGCCTATAGTCTGGTACAACCAAGGATCAGTTTAAATCATATTATTTGTGCGTGAGCGTGGAAGTTTTGGCTGAAAAATAAAACAAAAAATTATTAACACTTTTGTACAACTTGAAACTGTTTTATCTCGGTCCGATCTTAAAAAAATGACCTTTTGGACTCGCAAAAGTCTATACAGAATTTAATTAAATTCAACAATTAGGATTCGCATTGGCATAATAATATATTTAAAGAAAATCAAGCTTAGCTTTAATTATAACGTGGGCGATGTTGTCACTCAGACGTGCTATTAACAGCTTACAGCTGAGCAGAATAACATGCCTTTTTAACAGTGGATGTTAGCTAACAGAAAACTAAGTTGCGCGGGCGCAAAGCGGACAGAACTTTGCGAGTTTTGTTTTGAGTGAAAACCAAACAAAACACAGGAGAGCGTGATGCAGAGGTAGATAATGCAAACACTTGTTTGTGTGTGTGTTTACTTATGCGTTATCTACTTACGCTCGCGTGTGCTTGCTCGTGTGTTATCTGCCTCTGAATCATGTTCTCTCACACAAGAATTCATCTTGTGCTCGACAGCTAAATTTCTGTGCGCCCATTTTTTCGTCTGCTTTGCGCACTCGCAACTTGATTCTCTATTTGCTTAACCCCAGTAGTCAATCGCACAGTTTAAGCAGTCTCAAGCTACTGTGCAGCCACAAACTTTTAATATCAGGTGCGGTAAGCATGGGATGCATGCTAAATGCGCAGAGCTGTATTTCACACATGTCATATCTCGGCTAATTGAAGTTCGATCAAATATTTTACAAATATTTACACATATTTTAAAATGAAAAGTGTAATAAATCAATTTGAACACGAGTTTGTATATGTAAAATAATCCTATTTCTTAAAGGTTTTTGTTATCTAGGTGCTCTCTTTTATTTAAGAAGTAATCGCGACCTGCAAGAGCAGATATAATAACACATTATCTATGCTCTAATGAGCAATTGACTACTGGGGTTTAACTTACAGAGAACTACAATGCGAGAGCGCAAAGTAACAAAAAAAATTGCCGCACAGAAACTTGAACAGGCCGTCGATCCAAAGAGGAACTCTTGTTTGAGAGAGCGTGATTTATAGGTAGATAACCCATAGGCAAATACACACTTGCTTAAGAAGATAAAGCACAAGCGAACACACACACAAACAAGTGTATGCAGAGCTTATCGCAAAATATGTGCATACACTTGTGTATATTGCTTGTGCATTATCTATTTCGGCATGGCGCTCACACGTTTTGCTTCATTTTTTGTCCACTTATTGCCTTTACAGCTTCATTCTGTCTTAGTTTGACCCCAGTTGCCAATATGTCATATGCCGTAAATAACTTAGTGGGTGTGTATCCGATAAACTTACTAAGTCGATGAAAGCACATTTGAACCGAGTTACGGTCGTTTTACCATTTTATACATAACACAATAGGAATTCACCTAGTCAATTTCATGTTCAATATCTGAATACTGAGCATGAATGAAACAAGCTGCATTTAACATTTAGCATCAAACATATTGCCGTACAACCCGATATTAATGAAGCGCATCCGTGCAATAACTTCAAATTCTGCATGTCTACTGAGGTGAAACTAACCCAAAGCGCAAGAAAAAAGCGCTCACAAAAATGAGACCAGACAAACGATCATCAGATAAATTTGACCACTCAGAAATGAGCAATAGCAAAAACTCGAATGAGTGCCATGCATAAGTTAACATCACAAGCAGACACACATATGCATGCGAAGATAAAGCACAGCCATACACACACACACACATATATATATATATATATATATATATGCAGAGAGACGCGCCAAAGAGATAACTCGTGCATTGCGCTCACACGTAATTTTGTTGTTGTTTATCGCTCTACACAATAATTGCTGGTGTACGAATTCATCTTGAGAGCGTCTGCTTTCTCTATCTTCGGTGTGCCGTTTTTATCGTTAATATGCATTCGTTGCTGCTCTCAGCTCTATTATAAGAATAGCGCTAAGTTTGGCTCTCAACGTCGTTTTGATCTTATAACAAAGGCAAAGTGTCAAACATGTGTAAATGTGCGTCAGTGTGTGTTCTTCCCTACTTTTAAGCCCTGCTCTCAGCACAGTTCTCAGCCACGATTCAATAGCTCTGCCGGCGATTTCGACTACTTCTGAAATTACAAGAGCAGAGACTGATCTTGCTATCTCTGTCTAACTAAAGTTATGGGCTTGCGTCGTTTGTTTTCGATTTGTCTAATACATACAGACATACAAACGTACATATGTATGTATGTATGTCCAAAGCGCTGGCTGCCCGAAAAAACTGTAACTACACCCTGTATACATAGAAAATGTAAGGGGTATAGCGGTTTGGTGCAATATATAAATATATATATGGATATTCTTTAGTCATTGCAGTGTGTGTATCCGCAGATGTATTATTGTTGCATAAATACATATGTGTTAAAAAGGAATATACGAAAAGAAGCTACAGGGCATCTCGCAGTTGGTCACTCCCGGTTAAAGAAATTGAACGTGTTTTTTTTTACGGTTCTTCGTTAATCTACTGTGCCCGTCCGCTTTGACGCTGTTTTTGTTTTTGCAAAAACGAATATAAAAGAAATATGGCCAAACGCTGATGCGTGGACAGCGTCGAATTTAGTTGAGTTTTCATAGTCAAAGCGGAGAGTTTTTGGGGCGGATATGCAAAAGTGATGCAAGAAAAATGACACTAGAAATCCAACGTGTACAACGAACACAAAAAGAACTGCTTAAAATATTTTATTTTATATGAAAGTAAAGGGATTCAGACAACTTTCTGCCTGTCTTTTGTATTCATTATATTGCTTACTTTTGAGAATTTGGGAAACCAAAAGCTGTACCCATAAATATGCATATATTTAAATAAATGTTGAGTACTTTTTCTTATTCACATTATTCTGCAAATACTCAAGCTGAACATTCATTGACAACCGCTGAACGAACAGCTTTAAACCTATTGAGAATAACAAGTCCTATGCAGTACACAGATAAGGCCACATTCTTGGATATTTCCCAGAAAACAGTTCCCAGTCCCGCGAATCAGTCTCCCTCCTAGCTAGACTCTGTCGTCTGCCCGTCCGCAGAGGCAGTCAGTCAATCAATGCTTCGGCGCTCGAATGCCCAGCGATGCGGACAATGCGCGGGTTGACTTTAAATGCGCGCCCGCAAGTATGCAACAGATTTGTGGCTTTCAGTGGCGGCCTTTAAAAGTTTGCCTACACACGCACACACACACCTGCATATACCCTTGTGTGTGTGTGTCGCTGACATGCCAAGGAGACCTCAACAAAGTTGGCGTTACGCATACGCCCCGTGAATGTTATGAAAACAAAAAAATAAAAATAAAGGCAAACAAACAAAAAGGAGCCGTCGGCTGGGGATGCTTTCTTATATGCGGGGCACGCGTCAGTTAAAGCAAATCAACACATAACAATCTTGTACTCAAAATGCGTAAACAATGTGATAAGCAAAGAGCGAGAGGGAGAGAGAGAGAGAGAGAGAGAGAGTGGTGAGACGGGAGAAGAGGCGGGGGGAAGCGCGTATTCGCGACGAGCATGCTTTTTGATGTGTATTGATGTGGTCTTAAATCTCACTTGCAAGGGGTAAACAGCGCAAGAGTATGGCATTGCTCAACACTGACAATAGCTTTGTGTGTTATTCACTTGTTTGTTTGCTTGTGTGCGTGTTTGTGTGGGTGTGTTTAGTGTTTAGTGTGTTCTCATGTTGCGGATTGTCGTCTAATCTCTGTCTAAACATTACGTTCTGCGCCGCTTATTACACACTATACCGTAAGCTCTGAAGGGGTATATAGAATGTGATGAGTATCAAATAAAAGTTTATTAATAATGCATTCGTAATGGGATAAAGCTATATTGTGAGACCCTATCTATGTAATTACAGTGTTGCCATCCATGTTAATTATTAATAGCTATCGATAAGAAGATGATTGTGGAGTGTGAGGATAGTCGCTATTGCGAAAAGAAAGAGGACGTTTTTTTAAAGTCAAATTAAAAAATAATGAATACTACTTAACTATTGACACCTGATAATCTTTATAGTAAAATTATTATATTAATGTTGGTAAATATTTAAAATTTTCAAATTTTATTATTTTAAAAATGTAATAGTTTTAAGATAAAGCGCATTGAA